TGACATCCACGTGGCAATCGCAGGAAAAAGGTACATGTACCGTCTTTTGGCAATACACAAAGCGCGTCTGTTTTAGCGGCGGGAAACCGTGCGATCCGCCCGGCGCGACTGGGGTGCCATTACAAAATTATGGCATCCACCGCAATCGCTTCACACCTTGGTGATTGCCGCACGGTGAGGTGTCGCCTAGGTGTGAACCTAGCCTGAGAACGGCTGTAGCCTTGTCCAAAAAACCCATATGAAAAGCCTGCTGGCCTGGTTGTAGTAACGTTTATAAAACTCGAGATTAAGGTGAACAGCATAGACTTGGAGCATGTACAGATTTAGGCATGGTTGCGGTGTTTCCTGGATAGCACCAGCAGTTCACATGTTTCCTGGAATGCCACATAAAGGCCAACTCCAACCAAAGAATCAAATGTGAGTGCTTTTTGTCAACTTGGTTCACATAACAGCATTAGAGAAATGGCAGCAGTAAAATCTCCAGTGCTGTCCTAAACCACATGATGGTTTTACCCTTCCCTGATGGATTCTCTGTAATGAATGAATCTTTCCAGAGTCCAGCTATGGGGAGGTGACACCTTTATGTCTGTACATTGGTGTCTTTTGAGGGAAATTTAGAAAACTGTAAATGTATGCAGAGCTCTGACACCCAGCTACAACTGCATTGTTGGTGTAGGCTGACCGCGGCCTTTATACAGTGCCATGATTTTCTGAGCAGAAATGAAAGATAAAGCTTTTCTAATGGTAACAATACTCCGGTGACCACTCTCTAGTCTGCAGAGCATAGCAAGGAATAAGGTTCTGTGAGCACTACGTCCCAGTTTTCTAAAATTAGACTCATGTTTTTGTTGCAAATATTTTTTCCTCCTGATGCTTATTAAGAAATAATTATGTATTTAATCTTCTTTTAGGCCTCTGGGGAAGTACATGTATTAAAATGTGTTGGGACATGTTCATTTTGAATGCAGTTTTGGTGAAACTTATTCTGGGTTCCCATCTGTGCATTGCAGTAACGTGTGCTATAACATGCTTTACAGCAATGTTTAGTAACTTCCAATACATGGTACATTGCCATACCATTCATTTTAACAGCATCCCAGTACACCTAGCCAGAGCAGCACAGTACACATTTATTTTAACATTTCACAGCACATGTATGCAAACAATCTCTGCATTGTGGTTTGGTGCAGTGAAAAAAGTGCTTGATAGCAGTAGATTTAGGCAAAAAAAACGGAGGCTTTAGAACCACTTTAATGTAAAGTACAGTGGTACCTCGGTTCACAAACTTACATAGTTACATAGTATTTGAGGTTGAATAAAGACATTAGTCCATCAAGTCCAACCTATTAGGATCTCATTCTAGGAGTACCCGTACCCCTGTCTATTCGTTCCATGAATCTGGTCGCGAACCGAATCAAACTGTGATCAGACCGCAATCTCGATTAGAGGAAGCCACGACTAGTGTCAGAGCAGGGAAGATGGCTGCGGTTGGGTTTGTCACCCGATGCGTAGTTCGCTAACTGAATTGTTCGCAAACCAGCGTTCGTGAACCGAGGTACCACTGTATTATGTTGTGTTTTTGGCTGCCGGTTGCACTTTTTGCTGCATTCCATCTGCAGTGTATCTCTGGAAGAGGTGAAGCACTTTTACTTTAAAGACAGCAGTTTGGAAGCATTTTTGGGGATTGTGGTGTTCTCTGAAATTGGCTTTGATTATTCGCTAAACTTTAGTCTACACACAGTACAGAGGTATGTGTAGATATTCTTCTGCATGATTTTCATTGCAGGGGTGGAATTCACTGACTGAATCAGACCGAATCTGCTCTAGCACAGTAAATTCCCTTCATTGTATTCAGGGCTAGTTCACATCAGAACGTTATGCTTCTGCGCAGCTGTAATGCAATGCCTTGTGCAGCAATTTTTACTGTGATTTACATTTTGTGGGGGGGGGGTTGCTTAAAACGGGATGTCGGGTGCATTTGAATGCGGTCTTGATGTGTTCAGGTGCAGCCAAAATAGGGAAGGCAGTATGTATTTGGACTGCACTGGTGTGCACAGAGCACCAGAAATCATTGTGATGCATTTTGGATGCAGCTGCCAAACTGAATGCACTGCATATGGTGTGAACTAGCTCTAGGAGTTTTGCTAAACTCTGCAAGGAATTTTTCAGATGGAATACCTCCTCTGCAAGCTAGTATTCTGTAGTTGTTGCTTATTATTTTCATTTTCCAGCTACCTAGGTGCCTCTTCTGTGCCCATATTGTCAGTGCTGTCAGGCAATCCTGTGTACCTGTTGCAGGTGAAATAAATAAGATTAAATACCTCAAATTTGGAGAAAATGAGAACAAACCTTTTCTGTAGCAGGCATTTCACTTCTAACCTTTTTATATTTATATCTTGTACCTATCTGTAAATAATGATTTGCAGCTGTAAACTTACGACTGAGGTTAGGTTCACACCTGCACGACACCCGGGACGCGCCGTCGTGTTCTACTGCACACAGCGGTTGCCACGCAGCCCCATTGATTTCAATGGGGTGACATCCGCACGGCAATCGCTAAAAACTTACCTTTTTTTGCAACATACGTGTTCACTTGCAGAAAATAATGGCACCCACAGCGTGATTGCCTGCGGTGGGCGACTCCGTGTTTTTGTGCACAATTGCTGCGCGGCCAGGAGTCACCCAGGTGTGAACCTAGCCTGATACTTTGAGAAATTCAAAATAACATACTGATCTATAACACTCTATGGAATCATTGGAAGCATTCACTGTACCTGTCCATATACCAGACTTTTCAGCTGAGCTAGCCTCTTTCATTACTGTGCGGGATCCACTAGACCAGTGGTTCTCAACTCGTGGGTCGCGACACCCTCTGCAGTGGGTCACGGCGTCATGTCTGAATAGACCGGCCTGAGACTGAATAGAGAGGGGGAATTTGTGGTTCAGCCTGTGGTGACGCAAGGTTTCAGCCTTCTCTGCATAGCGCAGCCTTGTGTGGGTGGCACATTGGAGGGTGTGGAGAATGCACTGAAATATAGTTACAAACTAGACCCATCTCAGCCATATAGGAGTTTTGAGGGGATTCTTTCCCTCCCAGGCAGCTGTGAAGACCTAGAATTGTATTTGACCATACCCAACATGAACATTTTTGGGGGGGAGAGGTCCTCTTTAATACCATTATACCACAAAAAGTAGAAGTCTTCAGTCTGACATATTACGTGTGTCTTAAATCAAAATTCTGTTTTGTATACACCTACAGCCAAAGTTGGTGTAAATGGCATTCTTTCTGCTCCAGTATGTATTAAAATTGACCCCTGCCAAGGGTGGTTCCTTTCCCTATATGTCTTTGCATTTGATCCTCCAGCCATGATAATTGGAAACAACCCATTAATCCAACACCATAAGACAGAACTTTGTCAATGACCTAGTACTTTATCTCCAATCCTTCTATAGCTTCTCCTTCCCTACTCCAGCAAGTTTATTGTTAAAGAACTTCAGGATTTTTTTTATTAACCCTTGCAGCAAGCCTACCCTCGCACTATAAGGGTGAAGTGCTCATTTGTGTCTAGGTTAAAAAAAGCTAATCCTTACCTGAAGCGTAGAGTTGGCAGCTTCTTAAACTAGTCCTTCCAACATCTCTCCCTCCTCCTGCAGTGGTCTAAGGTCCCGTAAATCATCGTCTGTACACGGTGTATAGATTTGAGGATTCCGAGGAAGATTGCAATGCTGCAGGGAGGGGGAGACAGGCTGAAGGACGTGTCGGGACAGCTGGCCAGCTCTGAGCCTCGGATAAGTATATCTTTATTTTGGCGCCTAGACACAGACAAGCTACCTAACCCTTGCAGCCCAGGGGTAACCCCACTGCAAGGGTTAATATTTTTTTTAAAATCCCGGAGTTCTTTAATTACAGGGCAAATATAACCAATTCTTCTAAAATGGCTTTATGATCGTTGTTTACCTGGGTTGAACTCCCATATCTCCAAGGCTGTGGTTGGCATCTTTATTTCTGCCCTACAGACACTCACACTGAGAGATTGGCAGTCGCCCACAACCCCCACCAAGAATGAATCGGTACAAGAACTTTGCTTGCTGATGAGGGTGGAAAACTTTTACAACCTACTTGTACGATACCCAGGACCGTTTTAATGATCTTTAGGCCCCCTGGATTCCGTCTATGAGCTTTGTAGAGTTTCGTACTCTGACTGCGTCGGAATGTTCCCCCTAATGTGAATAATCACATTTGTACCCTCCCCTTGACAGTGCAAAGTGTCACGGTATAGCGATGTCTTGGTATTGGCTCATTCATGCCCTTTAAAGTCTGGGGGAAAATGGTTAACCCCTGCAATGGGACTACCCCCATACTGCAAGGGTTAAGTGCTTGTTTTGGTCCACGGCGGAAAATAACAGTTCTACTCACCCGATCCTCAGAGCCGGCTTGCTCTTAGACTGAATCCTGGAACTTCTGCCCCCTCCCTCCTGCTGCAGCGGTCTTGGCTTGCCATCCCAACCAATACACAGTGTATAGGACTTGAGGACACAGAGGGACATATAATCACCTCATCGAAGGAGGGGACAAGTTAGAGGGCAGCCAGCCGGCTCCGACGATTGGGTAAATCTTTATTTTCCACCCTGGACCAAAACAAACGCTTAACCCTTGCAGTACTCTGGTAGCCCCACTGCAAGGGTTAATGATTTTCCCTTGAGTTCTGCTTTAGGTTCATGTCACAATGGTTTGTTTTACATTTCTTGTAACTACAGAGTATTTGACGTTGACTGTAACCAGACTTGTTCTCGGGAATCTTATTTGTTATCTTTGTGATGCTCGCTGTGAACTCTGTTATACCCTTCTCTTTAATAAAAAGCTTTTATTACTTAAAAAAAATAAAACGTCTGTCTTGAGACATCCGTGTACTCTGTGTGCATGCTCTATATACATGTTGGTTTGAATAATCATTGGCTTTAGGAACTATGTGCTCAATTTTCTTTCTTTTTCTATGCAGAAACCCGCTAATATTTTAGTCATGGGTGAAGGTCCAGAGCGAGGACGAGTAAAAATAGGTTTGTACCGACATTATGTGCTTTTAAAAATCACTTTACATGGAAATTATTTTGATACAGGGGCACTGTATAGATATAGATGTTATTACACAAGTTCTTGTGCCCCGTCTATCTCACCCGGCATGGTTAAGTCCTGTTTGGGAGTCGTTCTTATTTAAAGTATAACTAAACACAAGGACGAAGTTTCCATTTATTCCAGCTTGCATTCCTTAGATGTGGTGTCTTCATTGGGTTTCTTTTTTAAGGCTAAGAATATTCAGCAATTGCAGAGAATACCAGATAATCTCGCCAGAAATGCCCTTGTCACTCCCATTGAGCCAAACTGAGAGAAAAAACAATGTTCCCTATCTTCTGTAAGCTAATCTTCCCATGATATATATATAGATGAGCAAAAACAGACACGTTTGTAGTACAGCATGGGTGGCAGCAATGGCTCCCTCTATAGATATAGTGGAGGATTGAGCGTAGCCACTCGGATACAGGAAGTGTGTTACAGGCAGGATCACCTGGTGAATG